TATGAATTAGAGAATAAACACTATTATATCCCACATCACTTCGTGTTGAAGGACTCTAGCTTAACAACAAAATTGAGAGTTGTTTTCGATGCGAGCGCTAAAACAACCACAGGTGTTTCTTTAAATGATACACTAATGATAGGCCCAAAAATACAAGATGACTTAATTTGTATTTTACTAAGATTTAGACTTCATAACATTGCAATAACCGCTGATATTAAAATGATGTACAGACAGATAAAGGTTCATGAAAAAGATAGAGATTTTCAGAGAATATTATGGAGAGATAGCCCGTATAAGCAAATACAAGTTTGTCGTTTGAAAACAGTTACATATGGAACTGCAGCTGCTCCATATCTTGCAACCAAAGTTTTGAGTCAGTTAGCGATTGATGAAGGATTGAACTTTCCAAAGGCAAAGAATATAGTTTTAAGAGATTTTTATGTTGATGATATGTTAACTGGTGTAAAAGATAGTTCGGAAGGTATTGCATTGATAGACGAATTGCAACATCTGCTAAAAAGTGGTGGCTTTGAGCTTCACAAATGGTCGACAAGTGAACCGTCATTGTTAAAAACCTCTGGCTTAACAAACACAGATAGTGACAATATTCATCGTGTAATAGAAGACAAACCATTGAAAGTTCTGGGATTGGAATGGCATCCGGACAATGATGAATTCAAATGTAATGTCGGTGTAATAGAGTATCAAAGTGTTCCGACTAAAAGAATTATTTTGTCATTCGTAGCAAAACTATTCGATCCATTGGGGTGGATAGCTCCGTTTGTAATTCTCGCTAAAATGATCCTTCAGCAATTGTGGAAATTACAGTTATCATGGGATGATCCTGTAACAGAAGAGATTGATCGAAATTGGAGAAATCTATGTAGAGAAGTTAAACTTTTGAATTCTATAAATATACCTAGGAAAATTCTGCTACCTGATTATTTTCGATGTGAACTTCACGGATTTTGTGATGCGTCTGAAAGAGGTTATGCAGCAGTTATTTATATCAAAACTTGCAATAACTCTGACATTAATGTTAAACTCGTAACAGCTAAAACTCGTGTAGCACCATTAAAATCTATTACGATTCCAAGACTGGAATTATGTGCAGCAGTGTTATTGGCACGCTTGATTCAGTCTGTAAAAGCTGCATTAGTTATAAATTTTGATTTAGTGCAAGCTTGGAGTGATTCACAAATCGTGTTGTCATGGCTAAGGTCAGATCCTAAAAAATGGCAAGTATTCGTATCCAATAGAGTTTCTGAAATACAATCCATCTTACCACCTGAGAACTGGAGTCATGTTGATGGAAAGGAAAATCCAGCTGATTGTGCTTCACGTGGATTATTTCCTGCAGAACTATTATCTCATCAATTGTGGTGGAATGGTCCTTCTTGGTTAAAGTGCAGTGAGATTGCCTTGTCTAAAAATATTCTTATAGATGAAGAGGCATTACCAGATGCACGTAAAACAGTCTCATTTGTAGTTTCTGAACCTGTACAGGAACTTGCTATTATATCAAATATATCTTCATTTCCAAAGTTACAACGCATATTTGCTTGGATATTAAGATTCATATCGAATTCTAAAGTAGCATATCTAGAAAGAAATACGTCTTTTTTATCTAGTAATGAAATTCGAGCTGCAACTTTCTGTATTGTCCGAATAATACAGCGATTTCACTTTTTTAAAGAAATTCAATGTTTGGAGTTGGGAAAGGACTTACCTACAAACAGCAACCTCCTTAGCTTGTGTCCAATTTTAGATGACAACAAAGTGTTACGTGTAGGAGGAAGACTGAAAAATGCGCAACTATCAGAAAATGAAAAACATCCAATCTTATTACCTTCAAAACACAATCTGACAGAAATCATAATTAGACACTTTCATGTCAAATATCTGCATGCAGCACCGGAACTTCTTCTATCTTTAATTAGACAGCAATTTTGGATCATAGCTGCTAGATCTGCTATCCGAAAAGTAGTAAGATCTTGTATCACGTGTTGCAAACTTAGAGCTAAAACTGCAAGTCAAATAATGGCTGATCTACCGGAATCTAGAGTAACACAATCGCGACCATTTCATCGAACTGGAATAGATTTTTCTGGACCGTTCATGATTAAACATCGTGCAGGACGTGGACAAAAATCATTTAAATATTACGTATGCTTATTTGTGTGTTTTGTAATCAAGGCAGTACATCTTGAAGTGGTAGAAGATTTGTCAACAAAGGCATTTTTAAGTGCATTGAAACGATTTATTGCAAGAAGAGGGAAACCATTTGAGATTTATAGTGACTGCGGTACTAACTTTAAAGGTGCAGACAAAGAAATCAGAAAATGTTTTTTGCAATGTAAGCAAAATCAAGAAATTCACAAATTTTTGTCTTTAGAGGAAATAAAATGGATATTCAACCCGCCATCATCTCCCCATTTTGGTGGACTATGGGAATCGGCAGTAAAGTCAATGAAATTACATCTAAAAAGGACTGTTGGTGATACTGTGCTGACCTATCCGGAATTTCAGACCTTGATAGCGCAGGTTGAGGCTTGTCTCAACTCTAGGCCATTGTGTCCAACATCGGCTGATCCAAATGATTTAACTGCATTAACACCTGGTCATTTCCTAATAGGAACGTCTTTAACTGCCATACCTGAACCAGACCTAAATTATAGTTCCTTCAATCACATTGACAGATGGCATGTGAGACAGTTTATTTTTCAGCACTTCTGGAAAAGATGGAGTCGAGAATACCTGTCTCAGCTTCAACAAAGACCTAAATGGCAAAAAAGTCAAAACAATTTAGAAGTCAATGACTTAGTCCTCATCAAAGAAGACAACCTTCCGCCTCTTAAATGGAGGTTAGGGAGAATAATTGCTGTTCATCCGGGCTCAGATCAAAGAGTCAGAGTTGCTAGTATTAAAACTGGTCATGGTGTCATAAAACGACCAGTCGTGAAATTGTGTCCTCTTCCTATTCAGACTAAAAAACTATGAACTGCTTCGCATATAATATTTTGTATTATTTTTCTTATGTTTATCTTTATTACAGACTAAGAAGTTTCAAAATGCTCCAACTGTTGAAATCCCCTGGGATTTCAACGAGGGCCAGGATGTTTATGTGAGTATCGTTTGCTTCATTTTATTGTTGCAAACAGCGTAAATTCCTTTTGTTTTTCTTCCTTTAGTTTTGAACTTTATGTGTGGCAACAAGATAATTGATTGATAGAATTGTCTTTGTGACAGCCATGTAGAATGGCTCGCTTATTTTGTATCAATTATTTCGCATCGCTGACATATTATTCATAATTAGTAATTGTAATGAAATAAAGTGTAGGAATACAGTCCATTTGTTGATTGATTATAGTTTGTGAAACATATTAAGTTTAAGAACAATAACCAATGCAGAATTTTATTCAAAGTGAACTTTACTAATTTGCATTCGAATACATTTAGAGTGTTAAATTTCACATTTAATAACTGCTTACTCTTAAATGTACTGTCTACACAAGAAATACTCATCAAATAGAGTGAATTTATCGTATTCACAACGAGTATATTCAGTTTACTCACATATAATTTTTAATGTTAACAATGGATATAATCAGATCATGTGTATTCTGAATCTTTAAAAATCAAAAGAATGCAAGCACTGAAATAAGAAAATACTAGATTCATTGTAACACTTTCATTGTAACACTTAACTTCAGTCATTCTCAGCTCAATTAAAAAAATATATACACTTGAATTCTCTTAATCCACGTAATATGCCGTGAACATCAATCCTAATATTAATGCGTGATAAAAATCGCGAAAGTGAAGTGTCAGCGATTAATCAAACTCAGAAAACGAAAGCACTACGAGATTTAGCGTCACAAGAGCAATAGCAGCTCATTGGTCCATTTTCGAAACCCCTCCCTCAGTAGCTACGCTGATGTGCACTTGTGAAATATGCGCCCCGCCCACTGGGTTAATCTATCTCTTATAAGGTCCATGGATGCAGGAACCTTGCGTCATGCATCTTCCACGAGCCCGAGAAGTGAGGCCTGGATCAGGGTCCGGGGTCGTAATTTCGAACACCTTTTAATGACGGTCGTTGTTTGTTTTTGTTCTTATTTGTAGGTTTCTGCTGTACTAAATATAATAAAACATGTTTTTGTCTCACTGTTTATGTCCTTCCTTTTTTGCGTTTTCTGTCGTCTGTACAGCGCCAGGAAAGCGTTTCTCACCATGCATTGCTATATAATTTCCCATCGCCTAGGTGTACTCTGTCTCTTCTGAAAGTTTGTCACCGCTGTACTGATACACCCTGTATAAGTGTTTTACGACATATTAAAAAGTTTTAAAGTCGCAAAAAGGAGCATAACGAGATGATCGAGTAGCAAAAACTTCGCAAAATCGCTCAGCGATTTAAAATCATAAATTTTAGTCTCTAAGGTTTGTCAAAAGTAGCAAGTTTGGGAAATATCGCACGATCTGGCAACACTGACAGTTAGAACAAGTCCCGAACTCTCCCCGGGGTATCCAATATACACACGATCGTCACTACCACCAACTTTTACGTTGGAAAATAGTAGCCTTGACGGGAAGAGACATAAAAATGATAACTAGTTAGAAAATCAAAAATAACTTTACTACGTTACACTTCAACCTTGAAAAAACGTGCAGTTTTCAACCCAGTATTCCCCAATGAAGAAATAGTTGATTAATATCTGTAAAAATTATTGGCTATCTAAGAAATATTTATACAAAGAAATGATCAGTTAACTGACAGATAACTCTTGCAGTTAATTTAATATGTGTAGTAATTTCTGTACGTTTTTCTGATAGCAAAGCTACTAGATGTTCTGATAAGATAGATGTTTCTGGTAAGAAAGCTATTAGATATTTACGTTACCATTATGTCTATACTTTTTCACATACCAATGACACAGTTTATTTTTTTTTAACATAGAAGCATAAATATAAAAGTATCAGTTTCTGTTCTGTTTCAGATTTGATGCTATTGTTGGATGCCGAAACCGAAGAATTTACTGAGAAAAGAAAACAACCCGGACTAATCCTGACAGTCCATTCGGACAATGCAGAGCCGGATGTCCATACAGACGGTATAAAAATTGAACCTGGATACTTATACGACATCGGAGTGCAACAAGTAATTTTAAAGATTTTACATCATGTACATCATATTTTATATCATCATTAATCTTCATTTATGTAATGTGAAACGAGAATTAAGTCATTCACATAGTTATTATTTACGTGTTCCGCTCTAAAGCCCTAGACGAAAGGAAGTGATGCCTTCGTGGAGGACTTTCTAAGAAAAACTGTTTTGTATTAATACGTTACATATGTGAAAAAACAAGAAAATGCCCATGTAGCCAGCCCGTTCGCGGAATTCGAAATTCGGACCGAATTACCAGTGTTCAGGGACCTTTACCGCTCGGCCTCTGGTGGCCCCCCCTCACATAGTTGAATCACAAATTGAGAAATCGCAGTAGTTGCACAATACACGCATTTTACTAAAACCTTATTGCTATCGAAAAATTAGGATTAACTATTGCTCAACATTATTGTGAAGGCTGAAAATGTCGGACTTAACGTTCGGCACCTAAATGCTGTTAGCAACGTTGTAATATTGATATGACAAGCAGATATTGTAATATCGATGCCTGTTTGGAAGCGTTTGTAATATTGATATGACAAGCAGAACAGTTTAAGTGTGAAACATCTAAAAATTTCACAGCAATTATTTCTGAAATAAAAGCTGCTATCGATTTCACAGAATATAAGTTTAGACAAGCGCTGCATAATTTGAGCCCATACATGGATTTTAATTATTATTAGCCTGTGTATTTTTTAACAAAGCTTCAGTTTTAAGTTTAGACAAAGGCTCATAATTTTAGCCCATACATGGACTTTAATTATTCTTAGACTGTGTATTTTTTAACAAAGTTATGATTTTAAGTTTAGACAAGGGTCCATAATTTGAGCCCATACATGGATTTTAATTACTATCAGACAGTGTATTTCTAACAAAGGTTCGATTTTAAGTTTAGACAAGGGCTCATAATTTGAGCCCCTACATGGATTTTAATTATATCTTTATCAAAAATTGAAAAATATAGAAAAATAAAAAAACATAAATACAGTTAAAACAATTTAAAAATTTATAGAACGTAATATTTAAAAAGAAAGTTACGTTAATAATAAAATGAAAAAAAAATGTAAAGCCATTTTAGTATAGAAATTAAACACTGGTATGATGAACTGAGAAACGGCTGGAAAAGACAGAAAAAAGTATGCCAGCACTTTAGCGCTGCATCTGAAATTCTGTACTAAATGGCGTAATTACGAAGAAAATGATGCTTCATAATAAAGCTAACAGGAACAAAAGGGAAGTTTTGTAGGACTAGTAGTAGTAGGTAGGACTGGTTAGTAGGACTGGTCACAGTAGACTGGTGGACTACGAGCTCAGTGAGAGTGTGAAAAAGCTTAACAAACCCTTTTGAACCACCATTAAAATCTGATACTTTTCGAATTTTTAATTTATTTTTATTTCTTTGTCTCCAATGGGGGGGGCTTTCATAAACTTACTTTCAGTCCTTCAAATAGTAAAGCTATAATTATTTCCAGAAATTTTGATGAACAAAAATATTGCTTCCTTGATACTCAGTTAATATCCGTTGGAATTTTAGAAAGTTGTAGGGTTTATATTTATTTTAACTAACATTTATTTTAAGTTTAAACTATCTTTCCTGTCAAGCCTTACTTTTCCCTGGAATTGCCAATGCCAGAGTATGTAAATTTTAGTAGAACGCGCAAAGTATTCAAATTTTAAGCAGAAGTAATTTGAGTTAAATAGAAGGGAAACGAGTTCGAAAGTGTGCTTTCTTGCTTCACGAGCGTGAAGGTTGCTAGGTAGAAATGAAGAGAACCGCGCGTTTCGGCCTGTGTGCTTGCTTCGGCAGATAGTTGAATCTTTCAACTTAATATTCAGAAAGTTTGCTGAAATATCAGCTGTATCTTAGAACGCGGTTAGGTTAGTTACGTTTAGAGAGCCTCGTAGGTAGTAACTTATTATTATTCATTTTTAGTTTCTTATTTTTATTTTACCGCCGGGTCGGCGTAGTTTGTGAGCGTCAAGTGCACGCATCTGTAACTTCTAAAGTAGAATAAAAAGGGAGTTAAACCCTTCTTAAGAATTTTGTGTACTTTCCAGTTCATAGCAGTCACTACTATTGTTGCGTGTAGGTTGGGGTCGCGCAACACCACAAAGTATTCAGTATTTTTGTGACTTCCTTGACCAAAAATTAACATGGAAAAAGCACATTGCAAATGTGAAAAAAATCGTACAGTTTATCGTACAACTTTTGCTTTATTGTGAAACATTTTAATAATTGTTTGCTGCATAATTCACGAAAAAGCATACATTATCTAAAAACATTCTCAAATCTGGTAGTTTAATAATGGTTTTTATTCCTTTTTACTCTTAAATTCGAATAAGCCCTGCCAAACATGCAATTAAAAACAAACGCTGTAATTTCATCATTGTTATGCAAAAGACATTTTTCAGAGAATAGCTGTTTTATGTCTTTTAAAATTACATGGTGTACTTCTTTGTGAGATATCAAGTTATTATTCGCTTATTGATCTGAATGAAAACGAAATTTAGATCCACTTTCGTGACATAGTATCATTAATATATTATTCAGGCATTCTAGTTAGAATGTATGTCACTAACAAATGCAGCACAAAGACAAGCCCTTAATTTTCTGTATGTTATAACAATAATTTAAAGCAGTGTTATATTTGGGGCATATAAGCTGCAGATCGCCATCGTAAAGAGTTTTTGTTAAGAGGATCATAATAATACGTTTCTTTGAACTTTTATTGATATTCCTAAAATTTAGACTTAGTATTAATTTGTTATATTAATATTATATAACTTAATTTTATCGGAGTTTTCTGAGTTTAAAAATAACTGCGAAGCCTAACTTTTAAATTCAAGTTTTTGCAAAACTTTTGATTTATTCAGATTCTAAAGAAAACATGAGACAAGCACGGGTTCTTCGAGGTAAAAAGTATTTCGCTTTCTCTGTTAGACTAGAAAGACGATGTTTAGACATGCGAAATAAAATAAATAGTAATAATAATAACAACAACAAAAAAACTGAAGCTTTCAGATTTTATATTACGCCCAAAGGGGCGTTTTTTAACGTTTTGTGTGTTACATTTATTTATTAAATATCATGTTCTTCGCACTTAAACCATAAAATTCAGTTCAACAGCAATGTCACAAAATATTTAAAAGAGCATATTTCTTCCGACACACAGTCTTGCGCAGATACACACTCTCGTGCACGAAAGTTTTTTTTTTTTTTTTTTTTTACAGTGTTGCCATTGCTGGCTTTGCAATCGCTGAGTTTCTTAATCAAAAACTCATAAATACTTTACAAAATATGAAATAGATAATAAAACAAATTCCAAATTCGGGCTTCCACATGCCCATATTCGGGTGGAGAAGTACACTATTCAAAATCGGATGGCTATAGGTACAGTTGTTTTATCACAATGCGAGAAACATACATGCATCCATGCAGATTCTTCGTTATTTAATTTCTTTAAATATAATGCAGGGCACTAATATTTGGTGTCAACAATTTAAAAAATGATTCGCCGTTTATAGTGCATCAAAGCAAAATGCCAAAGCTAAATTAAATGCCCCTCTGCTAACGCCGTTTGGACTAATAATAAAAATGTTGCTTTCTAAGGGTTCACAGCCGTCTAAAAACTACAATAAACACGCTGAAACAATCAACAACACAGCCTTCAGGCTATAACGGTGAAGACAGCTTCACGGTAAAGCACTAAAGTTCTGCTCCCGACTCGGTCGATCGTTCTCAAGCTAATCTCTGAACTCAAGACGCTACTACTCCGAATGCAAGCAGGATATCCTTGTGATGTACCATCTTTAGTCGTAGCTTAAATTCTCAGACGATAAGTTTAAAAAAAACAGGATCCATTTATTATTATTCAGGAGAAATAGCAGTTACAAAATCAGATATCCGGAGTGAATAAAAAGAATTACTAATAACTTTTTGTATGAAGTTTACTGTTTCGTGACATTTAAGAAAAAGCCCCGATATTATTTTGCGAGTTTTTTTAATAGCCTCTGGAAAGGCGGAGCTTCCAAGAAATGACGTCAGCCTCGTCAGCCAATCCAGTTCGCTTTAAATATTTCCAGAACATTCTAAAACTGTACATGTAGAAAAGGCGGGAAAAACAACTTGACTACGGGGCTGTGGATTTAATTCCATGTACTTTCAAATAAGAGAACGTCGCCATTAAAAATGAAAAGAACATACAGTTAGAATTTTAAGTGTATTCTTAACTATGGAATTTTATTATTACATATATATATATATAGAGAGAGAGAGAGAGAGAGAGCTTTAGTCTACCTTCGAGAATATTCCCGAGAAAACAGCTAAGAATGCGTTCCAGAATATTCTCGCTACGTCTGTAACACATTTTTAATTTAATCGCCAAATGTCGCCAATTGGACCATTTCGCACCAAATCTGGCAGCCCTGCCTTTCCTGCTATTTTCTGGCAATCCTAACCGCACAAAACTGGGCATTTCGCAACAATAATAATAATAATACTGAAAAGAACCACCGAAGCGGCATCTGTTAAACAAAATAAAGTCGTGTTACTTGCATCAATTTATTAAACTTTTTTTAATCATTCACGATTTTAAAAAAGGATTTTTAATCATTCACTTCATACCTCTCACTTCAATGAATGAAATAAGAGAAATGAAATAAGAAAAAATATGAATATATTTGCAATGGTATTACTAATATTACGGTTCTTTTCTTCAGAGCATTACAAAACTTTTACCCCGCCCTTACGCTACAAACTGCACCAATTTCTCTCAGCTTCCATGGGTTTCGGACGACGTCGAGCTCTCTCCAAGGGTAAGTAAATCAAAATTAGTTTTTAAAAATTAGTTTTTAAAAACAAAAGCGGGTCTTCGCATTTCAGAGCTTAAGAGCGAAAGGCTCTCGCGATTCCTGTCGCGAGATTAAGCTGGAAATTAAATTAATCAAACCATCTAATAACAATACTTTTAGAAACAATTCTCATTCTATTCTCTACTCTCTTACTCTGCGTTACTCCGAAGAATATAATCTGAATATAATCCGACAACCAAATAAACGACTAAGTAACCCTGACAGCATTGTTAAGTATACACGAAAATCTCTTTGCAAGGAGAAAAAGCAATGCCGGCAGGGTTGTTCAGCAGTATTGGATATATTTGGCGAGTTATGTTGAGAAGCTGGTGAATTCTATCTCACCAAGGTTCCGAACAGAGGGGCAGCCGACCAACCGGTATAGTGGTTAGCGTGGCTGACTCCTGTGCCGAAGGGTCCGGGTTGAATTTCTGGAGAAGGCATAGTTGTTTGCAAATATATAGGGTCGGTGCAGCATGGCGGCACTCTAAATACGCAGCGAGCCGAAAGTATTTTCGTGTGGTTTTGTGGAAGGGAAGAGGGTGGGAGACCCTCAGACCCATCCCCCGGTGTTCTGTCCATCAAAATTGGGGGCCGAACTGAGCCAAATCACATTGTCACCTGTTAGGTGGTATTTATTGTAAACATTGCCATCTATGTAAACACCACCAGACCTGTATAATATGTCTCTGTATGTCGTATGTATATTTGCACAACCATTGTAACTTTGTAAAATTTTATTTCAAATAAATACCGCTAATAGCGGATGGTAGATAGTTTTCATCAATAGAGCACAAAAGCTGAAAGTCGTAATGATGGTGCAGTTGCTCTGTTGATGGTCTCCTGTCTCCTGTTAGGTGGTCAAGGCTGTTGCCAACGACAGGCGTAATCTAGAGCTCCTTACCGTGAAGAATTTAGAAACTGGAAAAACAGATTATATACATTTTGCTGCAAACCATAAATTTAATATTGCTGATTCAACAACAGCTATTGAAAAGACTGTGGGCTCTCAGCTTATTGGAGGAATAAAAATCAACGAGACACGGTTGCCATCATCGTGAGATTTTGTTTTTTCGTTTTTCTCCAATGGGGGCTGTACCCGTTTATATAGGCGTTCGCTACTTAAGCCAGAAGTGATAGTCCCTTTATTATGTTGGCGCCTAATAGGTGGGTTACCTTTGCCTCCCTGTCTCATCCGGGGTTCGAACCGGGGCCCTTCGGTACGGTAGTTAGAGTCACTAACCATTTTCCCAGCTGGGCGGAGGCAAAGAATCTCTAAGGAGAAGAAGTAAAGGTTCCCCGGGGCAAATGTGGCTCCGTCAGACCGAAGAGAGACACATTATGTATATATTCCTGAAGCTTACTTTAAAGGGGCAAAACATTCCAAAGCTATCCACCCTCCGTACCTCACTGCGCATGTGCGAAATAACATCAGGAGGCAACAAAGCAGCATCAAAGAATGCAGCATGCCGTCGGCCATGTTAGCAATCTTTTACCACGTTGTTCGAAAACGTTCTTTGTTGTTGTAGTCAAACTTTGCTCTTGGTTTTCACAATGGTCATTCCAAATAATTGTCTAAATGTCATGGTAATTTGTTTCCGAAGTTGTTGTCGGATAATTATAATGTATTTCAGTGTTTTCAATTTATTTAGGGGTGCCTTTAATTGTCTTTAAATATTTTTTTCTGTTTCCGTTAGTTATTGCAAATTTTGCTTTTAAAATTTCACTGTAAAATGGATCCATAAAAATTTATTACGTTTTGTATGGCATGTGTTTTCCCCCCTTTTCAAGTTTACAGAAGAAAAGAATTAAGAAATTTATTTCATTTAAACTTTGTCTTCATACGGCTCGCTGTTTAAATTGAAGGTAAAAATTGGACAGGATTTCTATAATTCGCCCCAAAATTCCAACTAACATCCTTTTGCTCATAAAACTCCAGAAATGTATGAAAATAAAACATTTTGAGTTATTTCAAAGTAAAAAATTTACTATCTCCTCGAACTGCGCTGTTTAAATTTCACCCTGCACTGGTGTTTCACTGTATAGCGGTGGCTCTTCGGTACAGCGGCGCAGAGGAGAAACAGGTTTACATTGCGTCTATGGAAGCTTTCATTCTTCTCCTTAGAGATTCTTTGGCGGAGGATCATGAGTCTTACCTTGCGGGTTTTCATGTGGCATAACCACGTGATCAGAAAATGCTCCTAATTAAAAGCAATTGCGGAAACATAGGAGTCCCATTGAGGAATAAACATGAGCTTGAAGACAATCTTGGCGCCAACTTGGCATTTGGGAAACGAGAGCCATAATAATAAGGAATTACCGATACTTGATTTTAGGAAATTACCAAGAGCATAATAATTCTAGAAATATTTGAACAATTATCTAGCAAATTGCATGTAATAGTAGAAAATAATTCTTCATTTGATGACAACATCATCCATAGAGGACTACGTCTAAAAGTGAGCAAGTTGTCTGAGAACAACTTGCTCACTTTTAGACATTAAAATTATGAGTATTGATATGCATCAATACTCATAATTTTAGTTTTCTTGACCTCAAAACTTATAATATCTTAATGACCATTCTCTAAACAGCGTGTCTGTCTGAACAGCTTAAATTATCTGAAAATTTCGACGCCGAAGAACCATCTTTGATGAAAGTGAACTGCCATTCAAGAAGGTGAGAAATCTTTGCAAATAAAGTGAGATCACAAAAATTTATTTATGATCAAAGAAACCCAATTTACTTTTCTCAAAATGAAACATCGCGCCGAATATTTGAAAGTTGTTAGAACTCCGTTTGTCCTGCTGTGCCCCAGATGATGTCTTTTACTACAGCTTTTCCATCCCCTCTGACCGGCCCATATTTTCGCTTAGAAAACATATTATTCCCAACATTACCCCGAGAAAGAATTGTTTTCCTCATCTTAATGTCAAAATACCTCTGGTACTTTATCCCTGAATTTATGTACTTTTATTACATTGCCTTAATTTCTTGGACGTATAATTGTTCACTTGATGACGTATATATACGTATGCACGTATATATACGTTCTTAAATGATCACATATATATATTCTAGACCGTATATATACGGCCTTGTTGGTCAGAATATTATAAAACCCTCTAACTGACAACTCACTTGTTAATGGAGTTTCATCTGTGAAATTTTTTCCAATATAGAAATTCTGCGACGAATAGTTTAAGTAAGAATACATAAAAGCAAGAATTAATTAAGCAAGAATATACGAAACAAAAATCCGTAAACTTTACATCGAATTTTGAAAAAAATCGTGAAAACGTGATAAATAAACTTTCATGCATACATGCAAAAAGGTTTTAAGAAAACCAGTTCAGTAAATGTTGGTTTAAAAATTAATTTTTAAAAACAATCGACAAACAGAGAAACCCGTGTAAACAAAACCACGTATAAAGCATTTCTGACGCCATATCTAAAGCATGTAGTTCCAAAACAATCTACTTTGCAATGAGTTTGTCACATTTTTACAACTAATTTTTTTTTAAATATTTTAAGTTAATCTGAGTGTATTTGTTTATAACATTATATTTAATAGATATATAAATGTATTTATGTAGTTTATCATTTGTTTTTAGCTTTGTTCTGTTCGATGTTCTCAACACTTCCAGCTTAAAAAATGTGGTTATGTCACTGAAAGACTTAGTTTATTTTATCGTCATTTACCCTGGGATGCTAAGAAGATTACGCCAGGTTAGATATATTTGCATGTTTCATCTCAACTTTTACAAGTCGCATGCTGTAGTCAGTAGGCTTTAAATGATCCTAGACTTGTATAGAATCTGTGAAAGTATTTTAGAATTAAGATTGAGAATATTCCGAAAATATAAAATATAACTTTTTATACGATCCCTGTAAAGCAAATGTTTTTGCTAGTAAAGTATGCAACTATGCTTTAATAAATCATACGCAAAAATTTCCAATTCTTTGCGGTCAAAATTTGTACAAATACTAGTAATTAATATTTTCATGGAACTAGCTCTTAATATGGTAATGAGATCTGTTTTAATTAGCATAGAATAATCAATTACCAAAATGGGCTAATTTAGATTTATAACTGTCACTTGATCGAAACGTTGCGAGAAGTTTATGAGATTTTACCGTCGAAACATTTGATCAAAAACTGTTAATTTTCATCGCTAACGACTGCTAAAAAATAGTATAATAAATAAATTTATTCTAGAATACCTCCACGAATTTCGCATGGAACATTTTCTATTTAATTTTGTGAAGTGTAATTTTACTATTCGATTACAAATAAAATTTGTCATTTTCATGATTTGTTTTTAAAATTTGTATTTTTTAATAATTTTTAAATTTTTTAAAATTGAATTATAATCTATAAAATTTTTATCATCTTTAAGTAGATGTTTAAGCACACCATCAAAAAATTAAAGTTTTTATTCAAAATTTCCTAACGATATACGTGAATTTACATAATGGCGAGTTTCGAAGTTTGGCATATTTGTTATGAGCGGTAATAACGCCAAATGTAGTTTAAGCACTTTGTTAAAAATTCTATTGAAAATATGAACGATGACTTTCTTTCGCTCGTGTACAATGAAAAAATGAAAGGAAAATAGGTTGTTCGCTAAGTGAATTTATTATTCTGGGCGCAAACTGAAAAAAAGCGCCAAGATAAATTTATAAAGTTCTCACCAAAAATTACAAAATGGCATAATCTGAGTCGTAGAATCGAAATATGGAAACAAATTGTCATGTCATTTTAGAAAAAGTCCGATTTTGTGTCAAAATGTCTGTGTTAGAACAATGCTATATATAAATCTGATATATATCCTAAGTTGAGCTTTCGAGACATGGAAAAAGCAAGTTAAATTTCGATAATCGGTCCAGCGAAACGGAAGATTAGAACTGCCCCGTCCCCCCCTTTCTTTGTGTGTGTGTGTGTGCAAGGTGTACATGCATGGAACAAATACTTCAAGAAACAACGATCTTCTTTGAAAGCCCGCATCTCAAATAGCAAAAAGCTCCAATTACCCTATGAATCTTACCACTAAAACGTTGAAAGATGTTTAAATAATTTAAACGAAAACAACCTAGTTATTCATCCATGATTTAAAGAATTCTGTCATAAACAACTGGGGCCTTTTGTACCAATAGTGCGAAGAGAAATAATAAACAAATCTGGAGTTAATACAAAGGGTGATCAAATGAAAAGGTACGAAACGACGTAAAAACGTAACAGTTAAATATTTGCATATTCTGCCATGGGAGAACGTAGCGAGACATCTTGGGATGCGATTGGAATCTCTGACTGGGATTGGAGCATGCGTGGGCGCCCGCATGCGCAGGAGAGAGCAGAGCTCTTGTCAAAAGCGGCGTCCAAATGATGCGACAGTCCGTATGAGGACAAGATGGCGTTCGCGTTGCAAAATTCGACGACTGAAGAGCAGCGAGGTGTTATCCGATTTCTGACAGCGGAAGGTGAGAAACCGGCAACTATTCATCGCGGATGGTGAGTGTTTACGGGGAGAAATGTGTCTCTGACAAGTCTGTCAGAAAATGGAGTGCCCGTTTTCGTGCAGAGTGACACACATGGAACTGGCCAAGTTCTAGTGGGAGACTTTGGACCATCCGCCCTACAGTCCGGACATGTCGTCCTGCGATTTCCATGTGTTTGCTCCACTGAAGAAAGACCTGAAAGGGAAACGCTTCAACTCGGACGACGTACTCAAGGACGCTGTGAAAGACTGGGTCTCGTCACGGCCACAGGAATTTTGGGAACAAGGAATCCTGCGGCTTGTTCATCAGTGGGATCGTTGTGCTCAGGCCTATGGTGTATATTTTGAATAAAGTCTACATTTGTACCCACCGTGTCGTTTCGTACCTTTTCATTTGATCACCCCTTGTATATTGGATAAAAAAAATATCATCTTAAATGAATTGTTGAACAGAACCAGAATTCTTATTAAAAATATGGTACTATATTATTCCGTTGACTTGAAAGTTAGCGAACTAAAATCTTCCGTTGATTTCTTCTAAACTTTTCGGTTTCATTTGAAGTTCTGTTCGAAAGCTATGAGCACAAACTTTCCGCGTCCAATGTTTCCAATCTATTACTGTTTTGACGGCCACTTAGCTGAACATACCGTGTCCATTAATACACACTTTTTTAATAGTAGGATCTCATAACCATTGAAAATGATCCCCTTCTTCTTTAACCATTGAAACCATTGATGTAACCATTGAAACCATTGATAACCATTGAAAATGATCCCCTTCTTCTTGTTGTATTGTGATCTAAATGTGTCTTTAGTGTAAGTGAATACTATATATTAGCTTAAATATGTTTCATTATAAGCATGTGTTTTACTTGTATAAGTGTGTGCAAACTAGTATCTAATTTCTATTTTTATATAATGTGCTTACATGTTTTATATGTGTTATGTATGTGCTTTTATATGTGTTTTACAAGTGTTTTGTATGTATCTTTATATGTGCAAGTGTATGTACTTGTATGTGTATGTATATGCTGTAATTAGTGTGTAACAAACCAAGATGTAACAAATCATTCGCCTATCGATCAAAACTAATGTATTCCTAAGACGCCTCTGTATGGCCATGTACAATTACGTAAAATTCTTCAATAAACTCCCGAGGTGGCCTCATGAGGCTCCTGGGAGTTGCTGCCACTAGATAGGGGAGGGCGCGGGACATATGCCTGTTTACCTCTGTTAAACATCAGGCGTCCCCGTCCTCCGTCACCTGTCACCACCTGTTGTATTGAAGAGACAGGTCTCATATTTTAATATTTTTTTTTACTTCCTTGTAAGAAGGAAGGTTTCTAATAGCGAAAAATTTCCGATGTCGTATTTCAACTCAAATATACATTTTAACTGCTTTCGAATACACTTGACCTATGACATCTTTACGTACGGACAGAATAAAGAAATCTTTCTTCCAAAACGGATTGAAAAATGGATTCAGAAGAGACTCTTTTTCGTGAAGTCAGTGTGTACGTACGTATGTATCTTGCATAACTCAAAAAGGAGTAGCGGTAGAACGTTCAAATTTTGTATATTGAACTACTGTAACATCTAGTTGTGCATATCCCTTTTTATTGCAATCGTCAGTGGGATTTGTAGACCAAAAGTAGTTGCAGATTCACTACATAATTAGTCCAAAGGGATTTGAATCCCGAAGGACTATTAGTTTCGTTTTGGCATTTTGCGTCGGACTCATAAATGTCGGTTCACTTTTCAAACTGTTGCCACAAAATGTTACAGTCCTGCATTATATTTGAAGAAATTAAATAATGAAAAATCTGCATAAATGTATGTATATTTCTCGTATTGTGATAAAACAACGGTACATAGAGTCATCGAATTTTGAATAACGTAATCCTCCAAAGAATATGAGCATGTGGAAGACCCAATTTGAAATTTGAAATTTGTTTTATGATCGATTTCCTATTTTTTAAAACTTTGACGAATTTTTGATTAACAAACTCAAGGATTTCAAAGCGAGCAATGGCAACGTTGTGCAGAAAAAACATTTTTATCTCCAGCGCGTGAATCTCTGTATCGGAAATTCTAAAGATATGCTCGTTTTAAAACTATTTTGCGATATTGCTGTTGCACTGGATCTTATGGTTTAAGTGTGCGAGGAACATGATATTTAATAAAGAAAGGTAACACACAAAATGTTAAAAAACGCCCCTTTGGACGTAATTTAAAATCTGAAACATTTCAGATTTTGGTTTTTTCTATTTTTTTCATTTCTAATTTAATAAACGTTTAGGACACATATTCTCTTTTACATGTCAATATGGATGCGAAAAGAACCTCACAATTCTCTATACAACTTATTACATTTGAGACATTATACGATACAGCCAAACAAAGAGACACGCGACTGCAGGGCTTTTAGACTAAAAAATGGAGGGGGAACTGCACATTTCGGCAAAGTGGTATTTTTAGAGTTGAACCTTTACTTGAATTTTGAACTGCTGTTAGATAAAAACTGGTTACAGAACTAAAGATGACATAATGCAAAATAATTTTTTAATATGACGCAGTTTACATTCCAACAAATTAAATTAGGGGACATAAACAAATTAAAATAAGGAATTGAAAGAACTATTGCTAAATTAAAAATAGTTAGTTTCGTTCACATTTTACATCGTATATATATATATATATGATGTACCAGCTCTAGTCGTAGCTTAAATTATCAGACGATAAGTTTAAAAAAAAAAAAAAAAAAAAAAAAAAAAAGGATCCATTTATTATTATTCAGGAGAAATTGCAGTTACAAAATCAGATATCCGGAGTAAATAAAAGAATTACTAATAACTTTTGTATGAAGTTTACTGCATCGTGACATTTAAGAAAAGCCCCGATATTCTTTGCGAGTCCTTTATAGCCTCTGGAAAGGCGGAGCTCCCAAGAAATGACGTCAGCCAATCCAGTTCGCTTAAATATTTCCAGAACATTCTAAAACTGTACGTGTAGAAAAGGCGAGAAAACAACTTGACTACGGGGCTGTAAATTAATTCCACGTACTTTCAAATAAGAGAACGTCGCCATTAAAAATGAAAAGAACATACAGTTAGAATTTTAAGGGTATTCTTGACTATGGAATTTTATTATTACAAATAGATATATATATATATATATATATATATTTAAACAAATTTAAATTTTAACAACAACGTATAAAAAAATAAAAGCAAATTTAAAGCCAAAATTTTTAAAAAAAAGCAAATTAAAGCCAAAATAATTTTTAAAAAAATTTTTAAAAATGTGCAAACATATAAAAGATTTATTTCTCGAACTAATCTACAATATCATTTATCTTCAGAAGCATAAGCAAATCAAGTGCAAAACCAATCCATGAAAATAAATTCACTAATTTAGCAAATTAAAATTAATCCAAACAATTTTTTTAAAAATGCATAAGTGAACGACTGTTGAGCAGGCAGGAGACAGACTTATCAAGGGGAAGTTGCCTCCAAACCTAACTCTCCAATCATTCAATTCGTGTTCCGTCATTCATGCAGGCAAGGATAAAAGTCAAAACCAAAAGTAAAAAGTGAAGAATGTCCAAAAAGAAATACCAATAAAGTGGTACCCTTAGAAATTAGTATTTAAGAATTAAAGTTCTAAAATGAAAATACTAATGAAGTCTTTTGAGAAACAAGCAAGTAAAGTCAAGTATTAAATTAAACTTTTTTTAAAAAATCAAATTTTTAAAAAATTAAATTATTAAAAAAAATAATCTAGAACTAATGTATTTACTAATATTGTAATCTAGAAACTAATGTAGTAATTACTTGCTTTAAGTATTTTTTAAAATTTTTAGTATTTTAAAAATTTTAAAAATATATTTAAATTTAAATACTTAAATTTTTTATGTAGTATTTAAGTATTTTCTAGATATGAAATTATATTTTTAAGTATATATTTGTTTTTTAAAAATTGAGAATAGTTCTTTATGTTTCTTATTGGTTTATATGGATTATGTCTAGTTCTTTTTTAGTTTCTTTTTATTGATATGCATATTCGTGCCGGGGAGGTTTCTGTAGACAAGGGCTTCTAAAATACATTAGTTTCTAGATTATTTTTTACAAAAAATTAATTTTTTTAAAAAAGTTTAATTTAATACTTGACTTTACTTGCTTGTTTCTCAAAAGACTTCATTAGTATTTTCCTTTTAAAACTTTAATTCTTAAATGCTAATTTATAAGGGTACCACTTTATTGGTATTTCTTTTTGGACATTCTTCACTTTTTACTTTTGGTTTTGACTTTTACCCTTGCCTGCATGAACACAAATTGAATGATTGGAGAGTTAGGTTTGGAGGCAACTTCCCCTTGATAAGTCTGTCTCCTGCCTGCTCAACAGACATTCACTTATGCATTTTTAAAAAAATTGTTTGGATTAATTTTAATTTGCTAAATTAGTGAATTTATTTTCATGGATTGGTTTTGCACTTGATTTGCTTATGCTTCTGAATTTAAATGATATTGTAAATTAGTTCGAGAATTAAATCTTTTAAATCTTTTATATGTTTACACATTTTTTAAATAATTTTTTTAATTTTTTTTGGCTTTAAATTTGCTTTTTTACTTTTAACGTGTTTGTTAAAATTTAAATTTAATTTGTTTAAATATATATATATATATATACTCGTATATAGCAGTTGGACGTCTTGGCTGAACCTCCTGGATGCCGAATCTGTAGTTAAAAATTGTAACCAAAGTCTATGAACCACAGAAGACCTCACATTTAGCCATCTGGTCACTTCTGTCTGACTTTGTCCTGCCTCTAGTCTTCCACTAGTTCTCCATCGCCGTTCTTCAGGCAAATACTGCCTGGAGGACATTGTCAAAAATTGGCTATCCCAGATTTCTTATCTCAGTATCACATCAAAATTTGCTGGCTTGCTCTGATTCATGCAATGTGATGCTTCTCGCAGATGACGCATTTCGATCGCAGTGCCACTGATTTGCATACTGCAGTTTTACTCAGCAATTCTTATTTGATAACTTATTCAAATTTTACACGATTGACTTATTTTTGGTGATTTTCCTCAATTTTTGGAAACCATCAGTGCTTTTAAGACGGGAGCGTGAGAAAAGGGAATATGCTATGGGATCCCAAATAATCATTTCCATAAGCTTCATACAATATATAACGCAATTGTCTCATGTCTCCGGAAGAGGAGATGTCAAATTACACTTGGCAAATTCCCTTTCAAATGTAATTTCAAGTTTATTCGCTTTGAGTCTACTATCTCTTATGCTTTAATTTCTTCAATTTCTGTTTACTTTATTTTTCTGTAATAGCCGCGCAGCCCTTAGAAGATGTGTGTATGGAAACCTTGTAAGGATCCTAAGTTTTACTAACGTTTATTTTGTTTTAAATCTTTACTATCACTTCTTATTTTCTACTTCCGGCCAGAATTAAAAGCTTTAACTTATTTTATGCAAATTTGTCTTGCTAACGCCAAGTACTTAAGTTGTGGCTTTTTGCCAAGCAAGAGAGAGGAAGGAGTTATTTAGAAGAGGCCGCTTGCCATAGTAGTTTTACTCGGTTGCTGGTTGCCTTCAAGGCCAGAGGTTTAATCCTCTTGATAATTTTAAACGTATCGTAGTTTTAGCAGCTCTCTGTACTACATACGAATTTTGTTAAATAACAGCCAATCTTAAAGTTAGGCACTTGTATATTAATACAAAGTTAGTTTTAGTTATAGTTAGTAGTTTTATATTCTTACGTTCAGATCACAAGTGGTTGGTCTCTGTATTCCGAAGTTCCGGAAATCTCTGTAAAGATAAAAAAATAAAGGGTTTCGTATACCCTTCCTGTGTGTATTGTCTACTTCACAATTTATTTAACATAGCTTGAGTAAGCTCCCTGTTCCGAGTCAGAACAGTTCATGTTTCCAAGGCAAGTAAAGAGGAACACAAGTCCTGATACCCTTAGGGCTTCGCGGAACAGAGATTGGGAAACCCTTATTATAGTAGTAACCTAAATGAAAATGAAATGTTTCCATACAATAATACCAATCCAAAAGCATTAAAATGTCTTCAAAACCTTTATTACAGACCAGAAGAAATGTGCGCAAGATATTGAAGACTTAAATAAAGGTTATTGTACATCGCTTTGTGGTCTTCCTTGCGAGTAAGTGCATTTCAAATGTAGTATTTCTAACCATACATAATTTGCACTATGAATTTTTAATTAGAATTGTTTAAGATCAGTGTATGAAAATACCACTAAGTTTTGAATTAGCTTTAAAGAGTGATGAAATAAACATTGAACGTAATTCCTTTCTTTTAAAAATGTTTAAGCACATTTCCTCATAATGATAATACAGATACGCTTTGGAGAATTTTCCTTTTCAACTTTAAATGTAAAATGATCACAGATCAGTAAAATGATTTAAGGGGTATCAGAAACCCCTATATCGACAATGTTAAATTGGCCATTTTTGATGTACCTTTTCTCAAAATCTGCTGTAGATACAAGCTTGAAATTTTTTCTGTAATTACAGTATACCTATTTGATTATACTGAAATGAGCTTTTGGAGCATTTTGAATTTTAGAGTAAATTACAGAATATTTTGTTAGGCATAGTAAAATTTAGCACTTTTCTCACACAAAAAAATTAAATTTTTTTTTTTTTTTTTTTTTTTTTTAACTTTATTACAAAAAGCTCATTTCAGTAAATATTAGGAAACCTAATAAATAAGCCATAAAAAGTTTAGATACCTGTGAGCATTAAATCCCGAGAAAAGGTACATCAAGTATAAAAAAATCACGTTTGGAGAAAAACGCGTTTTTATGTAAAAATCCTCATTGATCAAAGCAATGGATGACAAATTAAAACTAGATTTTTTTACAGTTCTAATTTTCATAGAGATTAAAGCATGGTATTTTTAGAAAGATAAAAGTGTAGAGAATTTGAAAATGCAAAAATCTGAAATCACCATTTTTTTGAAGATTTTGGGGTTCCAACACCCCTTAAATGTAAAATACTCTACAGTGAAAGTGCTACAATAGCAATATAGGAGTATAACTGCAAAGAACTTGTATTGCAAACAAGATTTTAAACGATTAATAATAAAAAGGCAGAGCACGATTTTGACAGCGAAGTGATGAAATTTCTAAATGATTATACTCCTCCACCTTTTTTTTCTAATCATATTAAAATATTTGTAATTAATTAATTTGCATAAGAATACATGAAAATTAAAAATACACCTAACAATGAAATTAAAACTATATTTCAAATAAAATAAAATGTAGAATGAATACAATTAGAAAAATTCATTTTCTAATTACATTCATTCCACATTTTATTTAACTTTTTTCATACTGGGATGAAAATTTCTAGAATTATTCCTTTTAAACCCATTCTGTCTGTTACGTTATTGTAAAAATTCAACAGCTATTGAATATTATGGACGGGAAAATGGGAATATACTTTCTCATACAAAAGGGCATAACGATCTGATAGTCCTCTTTCGTTCTGAAGATCTGCTATCTAGTATCTACTACCTCCCCAAAAATATTTCTGCTTAACTGACTTTATCTATTCTGCATAAAGCATAAGAAACATTGGTCCTTATGAAGGATTTTGAATCAATTACAAAAGACACGAGATTTTTATATAAATGGTGTTGAAATGAGAAAAGGTACGAAACGACACTATGGATATAATTGAAGTCTTTATTCAGAAGTAATCACCACAGCAGTGTTTACGAACAGCAGTCTTTCACAACTACCGCAGTGTTTAACAAAACGAAGATTCCCTGTTCTCAGACTTCCATGTGTCTGTGACAGGAGCCAAACCTGCACGGTGTCCTTCAGTTCGTAGTCCGAGTTGAAGAGCTTCCTTTTGTTTTTAGCGGACCAAATATGTGTAAATCGTAGGGCGACATATCAGGGCGGATGGTCAAGCTGCTTGCACTTGAACTTGGCCATCACACTTTGTGTGACTTTGGAGAACGTGTGGACGAGCATTATTTTGGAGCAAAATCACTCCCGCCATGAGCGGCACAGGCCGTTTGACGAACTTGCGTAGGCTGCGCAGTGTCTCCACAGTACACGCCATTAATACACGCCATAATTGAATAGTTGACCTGTTTTTGTGAATTTTATTGGTTTTACTTGAGTTCTCTATTGTAAAATGTGCATTTAAGGCAGTATTTGATAATAATTTTCTTTGACTTATTTTTGAATGTATGTGGTTTTTGGAATCGGAATTTTTCATATATTTATGTTGGCATTATTCTTGTACTGTATTTCTATCGCGTCGCCAGCAAACCTGATGTAGAGTTTTATATTACTTGGAGTGGTTTTGTTTTTAAACCAAATTTATGTTTGCATTGTAATAATATCTCAGGTTCAGTGTATTTTAGTGATAATATTGTTTCAGGTATCATAGTTATTGGTTCTTAATTCTGAATTCATATGAAAAAAATTTTATTTGGCAGTTTATTATTGTCTTAGTTTATCTTTATGCATTTTTTTTTTCTAAATTGAATGGTTCTTCTTGAATTTGTGGAATCTAATTGATATTAATTGTGTATAATGCAGTAATGGATGTATTATATTTTGTTTGTACTATAGTTTTTATTTAAATTAGTTGGACTCAGTTTTGAAAGTATTTCGTATTTTCAGTACAAATTATGAAAGTATACTCGGTTTATTGCTTAAATGCTATAGGTACTACTTGTAACATGCTTTCTTTAGGGTCTTTTATGACTATGTTACTTATGTTCTTGTGTTCTTGAAGGCCTTGTATGCCACTGTAAACTTATTCTGCTTAGTCATAATAAATAGCTTCTGGAGGCAGGGGCTTTAATCCGTGTAAGGCAGACATCATGTCAGCTAGGTAATGGAGCCCCTGTTCTCTGGTTAACAACAGTACACGCCACTGTTAATGTTTAGGGAAGTTGACGCATGCTTCTATTGCATGCTGTGCCGCTTTGTCTTTGGCTCGAAAGGATGGCGCCAGCCCTCGTCACCGGCGACGATCAGCTCCAGAAAAGCGGGGTCTTCATGATACCGGAACAGGTGTTATAGTGCTAGCCTCCATACGTAGTTCCTTTTGCGGTAAGCTGAGCTTCTTCGAACCCACTGTGTGCGCACACCGGAAGGCACACCTTCCGGTAATCTAAACTGTTGCGCACAATTGTCTAGTCTGTTCCAACATTGGCCTCCACCATCACTGCCAACATTCACATTGTGTTTCTCCGATCATGTTTCACAGGTCGTTCACCTTGTGACGAATTCGGCCGTGATTACAGTGCTTTCTTGGTCTGGTCTTGGGCCATCATTCAAACATTCCCAGCCTTCACGAAAACGGTCAGTCCACTTTCTCACTGACTTGTCGGACATACAGTGTCCCCGTGGACGGCCACCATGCGGCGATAAATATCAGCTGGTTTAAATCCCTTCCACAGCCAGAAATCTGATAACACTCCGCTGCTGCTCAATGATCAAATTTTATAAAGTGAAGGCTATGATCTCCTGACACGCACTGATGTATCAATTGGACGGAACAGACTACCTGCTTCTCTCCTGCGTCGATGTGCGGGCACCTGCGCATGCGCACAACCACGCCGGACACTACATTCGAGCCCCTAAATGTCTCCGTACGTTATCCCAAACCGGTGTAAGGATCTTAAGTTTTACTAACGTTTATTTTATTTTAAATCTTTACTATCACTTCTTATTTTCTACTTCCGGCCAGAATTATAAGCGTTAAGGTTTTTATGCAAAGTTTGTCTGGCGAACGCCAAGTATTTAAGTTGTGGCTTTTTGCCAAACGAGAGAGAGGAAGCAGTGAGTCGACGCAGGCCGCTTACCTTAGAAGTTACGCAGTTGCTTGTTGCCTTCCAGGCCAGAGGTTTTAATCCTCTTGATAACTTTTAAACGTATTGTAGTGTTCTCAGTTATCTGTACTACATACGCCTTCCTGTTAATATAAGGCCAATCTTCCACGTTTATTATTCTAAAGTTAAATTAGAGTTTAGTTTTATTTTTATACTTTTACGTTTTGACCCCAAGTAGCGGGTCGGTGTATTCCGAAGTACGGAAGTCATTGTAAATAGAGAAAAATAAAGGGTTTTGTATACCCTTCTTGTGTATCCTGTTTACTTCCCACAGTTTTGAACATAGCTTTAGTAAGCTCTCTGTTCCGAGTCAGGTCCTTGCATGTTCCCGAAAAAGGTTAGAAGGAACATTGAACCTGATACCGGCATATTCAAATTTCAACCGGTTTGGTTTTGACGACGTTTCGTACCTTTTCATTTGAACACCGCTTATAGGTAAGCATAAAACCAAGCAGGTAGCACCAATTTTTCAGCTTGGATAGTGAAAGGGTATTAGTATTAGTGAATGACAGTAGATCAAAGAGTTAGTATTAAAGGTTAGAAGGAAGTTTAGCGCATAGTGTTATTGGTAGCTAGTAGCTAAATTGTTATTTCTGTTCTGTAAACTTGTGAATACTTTTCTATTCTTTCTCGGGGAGATCTTGATTACTCATGGACCAAATTCATTCTTTTGTATTCTTAGAGATCACTAAAGAACTTCTACAGTATAGGTGTCGCACCTTCTTGCCTATTGCAGATCTCTCATAGTTTAAGCCAAAAATATGAATTCACTTTACTATGAGAGAGATACATGTAAGAAATGAAAACGATTGACGTTTAAGAAAGAAAATTGCGAATTTTATTGATAAATGAGTAATATAATATGTTTATGCAGGGGTCCTCAAAACCTTTTTTGACTCGGGCATTTTTTTTTTTCAAAATCTGGAAAATAATTATATAAAGTTATGTAGATTTAGATGATTTTTATACTGTTTTACAAATTTATAATGTATTTCTCAGCCTTCTTTGCATGCCTTCGTGGTGTAGTGGTCGGCACGCTCGACGCGTATTCGACAGATCCGTGGTTCGAGTCCCAGGGAGGGCAGTGCACATTTTTCACATTTCTCCTGCTTTCGAAACAACCTAATGTCTCTACAAATTAAACAACCAAAAGTGTATCAAATGTTAATAAATATCAAAATATGAACAAAATTAGTTATTTATATTTATAAACTAAAGCTAATACTTTCCAGGTAAATAAGAGGCTGACCGCATCCCCCCTAAAACTTCGAAATCCCACCCCGGTTGAGGACTCCTGAGTTAATGGGCACTATTTGCATTTGAGATGTAAAAATCTGCCGTGTATAGATGATAAGCTACTAACGCTTTATGAAGTAAATATTAAATGTTTTCAAAATAATAAATTTTTCTCTCTTTTTTATTAGAGACATTCGTTTTGAAGTAGCTGTAAGCACAAACCATTTAACGGAAAACGATGTGGTAAGTAATGCATATATTTTCACTTAAACTCATTGCTTTGAAAGATTTAAATATATGTGCGAAATTAACAAAGCCTTCATTAATTACAAAGATTTAAAGCAAAATTTCTGTAAGCTTTTAAAATATTTTAATTGATAATAAAAGATATATTATAACGAATTTCTGGCAAGATATAACATATTATGCCTAACTAACTATAATTAACTGTCTCGATATATCAAAAGTCTCAATATTAGAAAGATCATCACACAGGTATTCCTCTTCATAGTAGCCCACAAAGTAGTTTAGTTTAGTTTAGTTTAGTTTACGAGTATGCTGCAACCCTCCTAGCCGACAATAATTGGCCTCATGGTTAACGCAGCACACCCGACGCAGACAAACAACAACAATAATAATAATAATAATAATAATGAAATAAATAAAAGATTAAAATATTTAAAGTCCTATTCCTATGATAGTCATTGTTTTCATTCACAATCCTCATAATTTCTGTTGTATAGCTATTCAAGAATTTTCTTTTTTCAATTACATTTTGTTCATTTATTTTTCCAAATCTCGTCCTCACACTCTCGGTCAGTTTACATTCTTCCATAAAATGAGCTGCATTTCCGTACTTCCTACAAGCCAAGCATGGATCATTGCCCTGGAGATTAAAACGTTTTAAATAGGCCGGGAATCTACCATGATCCGTAATAACTTGAATAGTATCTATGTTATTAAATAGATCCATTTTTCTTTTTATGGTCAAAATTCTCAAGTAACCCTTATTTTTATTTGAACCATTCCATTCCCGAGCCCATTTCTCAATCATACTTGATTTCATTTTTCTCAAGGTAATTCTTCTGGAATCATTAATAGCCTCATAACTATCACCCTCTCCCAGGGCAGCCTCTTTAGCTAGCATATCCGCCCTTTCATTCTCGTTAACACCAATATGTGCTTTGACCCAATGAAAATATATACCATTTTTCTCTCTTATTTTGTTATAAATGTTTTTTTATATCCAAAAGAAGTCTATTGCTTGTTTCCGGATTTGCCAAGCCTTGTAGGGCCGAGAGAGCATCAGAATAAATATGTATTGTAAAGTACTGTTTTAAGTTTTTATAACTCCACCGCAGTGCCTCTCTAATTGCAACCGCTTCAGCTCGATACACTGATTTATTTCCCTCTGATCGTATTTTTCTAGTATAGATTTCGACTCCATAATAAAAAATAACAAAAGCGCAACCAGTTCCACCTTCATATCCGGAGCCATCAGTGTATATATCAATCATGCCAGTATTCATATAATCTTTATCGTACGGTATACCCTTGAAATCTTTTGGATATATATTAATAAAATCTTTTCCTGTCAAGGCGTTACCATTCAAAACATCACCATTTTCACATGTTAAAATCTTTTTAAAACCGTAGCTGAGTAAAAATTTTTCATAATAAAAGTTATAAAGGCCCACAAGGTAGTATATACATTTAAATATATAATCGCTAATTCAGCAATTTTTCTAAAGCTGCCTAATTAATTTCTCAAAATGTTTCCTAATTTTTTTCCGGAATCACAAGAAGGTTATATTCATGCTATCCTCGCAATATATGAGGTAATACTCGTATTGTAGAATCTGACCCATTTTTGCTATCATAAACCTTGTTAGATCCCACTAAGGAACCTGAGGACTTTTCTCACAGGCGTAAAAGTATATCGGAATAAAAGAAGGGTAAAATAAATCTTTATTGTTCTTAAAACTCCGAATACGAATGCATGAACTTCGTGCTCACAATAACACCGACGGTGGAACTTAAGAATAGTAACACAATAATTTCAAAGATCACTTCACTTAACTTTGAGTTTGCATCCTGGCGTAGAAGAAATGAGAGGTTCAGGAAAGGTACTAAGCTTAAAATAATTTGTTATGCAAAATAAGGGAAACCCTACATCATCTCCTACTGGATTCGTGCTGAAACTCATTTTTAACCAAGAGGTAGATAAAGCTAAATGATCTGAGAATCTTGAAATTTTTCTATTCCTCTCAATGCCCTATGTTGTCATTATTTATTCTTTTGACCAACTTAGAAAAGTTCTCATATTTTTTTAATTACGTAGCGTATTCGGAAACTAAGTATCGTTTCATTCTAGCGCCGTCGCAGCGCTGTGGTAGGGGTCCCGCGCATGCGCACTAGTCTTTCTTGTTCACTGACTTTCAATTGTCGCGATTTTGGTTGCTCTATGTTGTGTTTTCAGTTTGCTGTGCACATTCAAAATGTTTAAGACAATTAGTTCTCCCGCTGACTGTGAGATTCGTGCCGTGATTAAATTTTTGAACGCGAGGAATGTTAAACCGGCCGAAATTTATCGTCAAGTGACAGAAGTTTATGGTGAATACTCGATAAGTGATGGAATGGTGAGAAAGTGGGCAAGAATGTTTAATGCAGGTCGAACAAATGTCCACGCCGAGGCTCGGAGTGGTCGGCCTTCTGTTGTCACCGATGATTTGGTACGGAAAGTTGATGAAGCAATTCATGAGAACAGACGCTTCACAGTGACGACTCTTTCAGAGGCATTTCCACAAATTTCACGTACTGTTTTGTTCGAAATTGTGTCTGACCGCTTGAATTATCACAAACTGTGTTCCCGATGGGTTCCAAAAAGGCTCACTGATGTTCACAAAACAAAGCGACTTGGTAGTGCCCTGACATATCTTACGCGGTACAGTGACGAGGGAAAAAACTTTTCAAACCAAATTGTGACAGGTGATGAAAATTGGGTGTGTCATTTCACACCAGAATCGAGACAACAATCGATGGAGTGGAGACACACTCATTCTCCGAAAAAACAAAAGTTCAAAGTGACAATGTCATCACAAATATCATGTGCACTGTCTTCTGGGATAGGAAAGGCGTTTTGCTTACTGAATTTCTTCCCAGAGGTGAAACCATTAATGCGGCACGATATTGTGAGACTTTAACAAAACTAAGGCGTGCCATTCAAAAGAAACGAAGAGGAATGCTCAGTAAAGGAATTGTGTTGCTCCATGACAATGCTCGGCCCCATACTGCTGGTGTCACTCAATCGTTAATTCGACAGTTTCATTGGGAGCAGTTCGATCACCCGCCGTACAGCCCGGACTTGGCGCCGTCCGACTATCACTTGTTCCTGCACATGAAGCGCGAGCTTGATGGCAAGCGCTTTGGATCTGACGATGACACGAAAAATGCTGTGGAGTCGTGGTTATCGAAAATGGCGGGAAGTTTCTTTGACGATGGTATACAAAAACTGGTCACCCGCTATGACGAGTGTTTGATCATTGGCGGAAACTATGTTGAAAAATAGATTAAGACATGTATTTTCATGTAAAAATAAAATTGGATTCGAAAAAATGGTTTTACTATTTTTTTTTTTTTTTTTTTTTTTTTTTTTTTTTTTCAAAACGGTACTTAGTTTCCGAATACGCGTCTTATATTATTTCATGATTATTTAAACATGTCACGTTTAAATGTTAATATGTATGTTTAAATGCTATTTAACATGTTATGTTAAAAATATTCAAAAGAAGTGTCAGTCTAAGAATTTAATGTTTAGCTGTCACTGTTACTTGAATTACAAAGTGTAACCAATAAAACTGTCTTGCGGGTATTTTAGATTTTATATGGAAAATAAATATAAATTTGAGTTTTTCCTTTTATGCTAACTATTGCTTGGGTTTTGTTTTCATAAATGCTTAGCAAGAGAAATTTAAAAATTTATTTAAAATATATTTTATGATTTAGTTTTAAAAAAATTTCATTTTGTTAAAAAAAATCTGGGCCATCAGTTATTTTCAGATTGTGCATGAGCCCCGCATGCAATACGAGTTTCAGACCACTGGCCTAGAGTATTAGAGAATATACTTTTGTAAACTGTTATTAGGACACCTAGACCTTTCACCGTGTAACTTTTAGGTTTTAGTTGCTTATTTCCGATTGTAGTTTCCTTTTTACATGAAGCCAGAAAATTATCTTTAATCAGTCAGATTTCTCATTTCTGAGTTGTTACTATTTTCATGGAAAATTTTTACAGACACTGGATTTTTTGGGGGGGAGGAAGCTATTATTCCTGTTGATTTAGTATTACTGGCATAAGCAGCATTTGGTCGTGGCTGAGAGTTCTGTATAATACTTTTGGCTTCTGCATATAAAATGTTCCTTGTAACTTTAATAATAAACGCGTAATGGTTCAGGGGCGGTACAGGTCAGTTCGACGCCAACGGTTCGACGCCAGCGTTTCGACGCGTGGTTAATTCGGGGTCAGTTCGACGCCATACTTTTTTGCTTTTGTTTGACGCCATACTTTTCGTATTTTTATCTATTTTTAGAATAAGATTTTCGTCATCATTTAAATATTTGTGCGGCGGTTCATCATCATTGGTGTTTCCCACCCACATATGGGAATTCATAGATGGTCTCAGGCGTGTACAAAAATCAATTGATCAATGTTATGAACAATTTGTACGTGGAGATGAACCGCCGCACAAGCGGAATAGGTATCTGCGAGCTGATATGAGAATTAAAGTAATAGTTGAAGATTTTGAAAATCGAGAAATAATGGAATACCTGAAAAGTGTGGCACATAATTTTGCAATGGATTAGTATAATAAACAGTTCTGTGATGTAATCTTATTCTCTAATCTTTGGGTGTATCTTAATTTATCTTATTGTATCCTATTTATCTGTAATTATATTTGTCTGCAATATAATATAACTACTTTGTAACCATATATTTATTTACCATTTGTGTATTTTGCCTTTTTGATGCTGTTTTATGAAATAACTAAATAAATAAAACCCTCCCTCATGTTCCGGGGCGTTGACGTTGGCGAGGGGGCTTCTCACTAATCTGGGACACAAACAAAAATCTAGAACACTTTCACACATATATTTATTTCAAATATACATGCAAACAATCGCTAATTCAATAAATAAAAATCAGTCATATTACTTATTTATATTACTTCATATTTATTCTAAAA